CTCCTCCTCCTCCTCCTCCTCCTCCTCCTCCTCCTCCTCCTCCTCCTCCTTTTTCCTCCTCCTCGGCCTCCGCGCGCCGTTACGACAGGCCGCCGGGCGCCGTTACGACAGAATTGCTGCAATTCCTGTCGCCGGGTGCCGTTCCATTGATTTTCCGTCGCAAGCTGCACGCGTGGACACGTGCTCCACGCGCCCCTTCTGAGAGGGTGTAGCAGCTGCACCAGCAACCTCCGGCAGGCAACGCCGAAATATACACGGAATGCGTATTCCGGGCATGGGCGCCGTCCGCGAGGGCTCGGCAGCCAGGGCCATCCAGTGCAGTTTTGTTCACGTGTATGTGGGGGCCCGCTTGGCTGTCTCGAGCCGCTCTCGTGGCTTCCGCTCCTGCCCTCCTCCCCTCTTTGCCCCTCCTCTTCGCCTCCTCTCGTCGCCCCCTCTCTCTGGCAGGGGAAGAGGGTTAGCACTCGTGCTACGTGTCTCCTGAAGCGGAGACCTTTCCGCCTGAGGTCCACTGCTTTTTTTAAGTCGTGCAGCAGTCGATGGATCTCGCCGAGCGGTCGCTGTCCTGTCCTGTCCCTTTCTCGTTGTCGGGCTTCCCATGCTACACCGGAAAATCTTGTGTTCCCACAGGGGGACATGACTATGAAGCGCACGATGTTCGTCATCCTCTCCCATGGCGCGCGAGCTGCAAAGAAGCAGCACGAAAAGTTAGTTCATCATCGAATGCAATGCCAATTTGGAGGTGGATGTGCAGGACTTGATTTCCATTGCGTCAAGAGGGGGCCCTGGCGCGGAACTCTCGTGGATCGGACTCCAGAAAGTACACAGGCCCAACAAGTTCACCTCTGGCCACATGAGGCCAGTCATCCAAGGCAGCAAAATTATTGTTTTCAAAGGCTCTGGCTTGTTGCGGGCATACCGGGCGTCCCTGATGGCTCGGTGGTCGCATTGAGACATGATGCTGTGCAGGTTCCTCCCAGAGGGCGCCATCTACAGGCCCATGCAGTCTTTTTGTGGCATCAGGGCGCACCAGTGCGTTCCAGGGCAGTGCTTCCGCCCCGCCCTGTCGGCAGCGGAGACTTGGTCGGGGAAGAAGAAGCGAAAGGCCCAACGAACACTTCCTCCTGCACACCTCCATTCCCTCCCCTCCGTCGGTCCGCCTCGGCTCCGCCGGCCACACTATACCCTCCCACTGCTGCGCATGAGCACGCAAGTCAGGCACGGCCTCGCATCATCCCATAACCGCGCATCTTACACCCCATCTTGTTTCGATTGTCTGTCCCCCCGTCATCCACGTGTTCCCCCCCGACCCTCGCTCCTGATTCGCCACACGCTCAATATTATTGCACCCCCCATTGCCACGTTGTTCTACCCGTAATCCTAACCCGCCAACATCCAATGCCCCTTATCTAAGGAACCGAACTCTATACACCGACGCGTGTTCCGGGCCTGCTCTGAAACTTGCAAACAATAAAGCGGATCCTGGTGTATACGGGATCCTGGTGTATACATTGTTCGTTGTTTCCCCAAGACAACGGGGAAACAAGTATACACCTCACCACCCCGACGTCGTCCTCGACCCTCAAAAAATCCTGGGATTGAAAAACAGCCCGCCACTGGTAATGTATAGGTTCCAATATCCGATTATTGTTTCATTGGCCCCGCCCGTGCGGTCTGGACCAATATGGCCCCAGGCCATGCCACATCGGGCAACCGTGCCCTACAGGGTGGTGATCCAGGTAACTGGACCCACTCACGGAGTTAAGGCGTCACCTCAAGTCCTCCTCCTCCTCCTCCTCCTCCTCCTCCTCCTCCTCCTCCTCCTCTTCCTCCTCCTCCTCCTCCCTCCTCCTCCTCCTCCTCCCTCTTCCTCCTCCTCCTCTCCTCCTCCTCCTCCTCCTCCTCCTCCTCCTCCCCTTCCTCGCCCCTTGCCTTGCCGGGGCTGCGCCGCGCCGCGCCGCGCCTCCCGCCTCGCCTCCGATGCCGGGTTCGACCAAGGCGGCACGCGCCGCGGCGCCACTGGAGGCCTCGCGTGGGGCCCTGATGGCGGTCCACGCGGCCGCGGGCTTGGCCGCCGCAGGAGGGATGCGTGACTCGGCACGCCTCCTGCGTGCGGCGGAGGGGCTCGTCCGCACGGCTGTGGCCGAGCTGGTCGGGCAGCCCACCCCTCCCGCCGAGGTCGGCGCGGGTCCCCAGGCGGTGCCGCCTCGGCGCCGTCGCCCGCGCGGCCGCGGAGGACGGATGGAGGTGGACTCGCGCTTCCAGCTGCAGGACGTCGTGGAGGAGAAGCCCCCTGGTGGCGGTGCGGCGGCGACGGCGGCGGTGGGTGTGGGGGCCCCCGCCGACGGCGGCGTGGTGGGTGCGGCGGCGGCGGCGGCGGAGGCGATGGTCCAGGAGGACATGAAGCTCCCCTCCGACGTCGACGACGACGAGTGGGCAGATGAGGTGCCCCCGAGGCGCACCCCGCACATCCTGCGGGAAGGCGACCGCGTTCGTCTTCGAGATGGGCGCCAAGGGTCGGTGTACGGCGATCCCAATGACGGCGTCGACCCGCACGGCGTCGTGTGCGTCCTGGTCGAGAGCGGCCGCCGTGCGACGGTGTGCGAGGTCGCCTTCGAGGACGCGCAGCCCTTCGTGGACGGTGCTGCCGCTGGGGCGGCGGCGGAAGGCTGCAAGAAGGGCAAGGGCAAGAAGAAGCGGTAAGTCCGACGCGGAGCTCGTCGGCGGCTCCATCGTGCTCCGCGCTGAGTGCCCGCGGCCGCGGGCGCTCGGGCGCGGCGGCCCCCGAGGGGGCGACCCGCGACCGCGGGAGTGTCTTCTTCTTCTCCTCCTCCCCTTCCCCCTCCCCCTCCCCCTCCTCCTCCTCCTCCTCCTCCTCCTCCTCCTCCCCTCCCCTCCCCCTCCCCCTCCCCCTCCTCCTCCTCCCTCCTCCTCCTCCTCCTCCTCCTCCCTCCTTCCCCCTCCCCATCCCCTCCCCCTCCTCCTCCTCCTCCTCCTCCTCCTCCTCCTCCTCCTCCTCCTGCTCCTCCTCCTCCTCCTTCTCCATCCATTTTTCCTATCACACAGCACATCTGGAGGGAGTGGCTCGGCCCGTCTCCTGTGGGGAGCGAGGCGCGTCGCCTCTGGACGGGCCCAGGAGCCCCGAGCGCCCGAGTCCTCACGAGACGTCCGGGCGCAGGAGGCGGACGACGAGAAGTGAAGGGGGGGAGAAGGAAACAGCACGACGACTACGACGACGAGGCCGGTGCGGAGCCCGAGGCGGAGGGCGGCAGCGAGGAGGACGAGGAAGACGAGGAGCCGGAGGAGGAAGAGCTGGCGCAGGAGGGCGAGGAGGACAGGGAGGATGACGACGGCGGCGGCGACGACGGCGACTGTGCTGTGAGGTGGAAGAGGCGGCGGGCAGAGGAGGAGCAAGCGGAGGTAGGAGGACGAGGCGGGGGCGGAGAGGGAGGTGCACGAGGCAACCGTGAAGGAAAGCTGTCCGACTGCGTCCGACTGCTTCTCCAGAGGGGCCGTGCGCAATCATCCTGAGGCTGGCAGACGCGAGTCTGCCTCAGCCCGCCACGGGTCGTTCGGGGCACTCCCCTAGGCTCCACACACAAACATGCACGCGCTGACCCCCGAAACCCCCCACGGCCTCAAATTGTGCCAAGACCGACCACGACAACAGCGCAACTAAAAACCGTCCGAACTGACAGCGAAACCAAAACCGACCGAAACCGAATCTACCTACCGTCGTAGCATCGACGTAGCAACCGACCGAATCGAACCGACCGAGCACAACCAAGCGCGACGCAGCCGAACCGGCCGAAGCGCGGACATCCGTCCCGAATCTCCGATGTTTTTGTTCCATTCGGGATCCCCGGAGCTCTGGACCACTTCCCACGGAACAGGTTTCAGTCCCAGATCGATGTCTGACTGCTCTTGGGCCCGGCGAGCCCCCAGACGCCGAAAACTATGAAACAAATCCGTCTTGTTTTTTCCACTACGTTGGAGCCCCTTTAGCGGACCCGCCTCCCCGCCCCCTGGTAACGTCACGATTCACGCCGGCGACGTCTGGGACTCAACTATCCATTCCTGAACATTCCGAGACGGCGCCAGCGCGAATTGTAACGTTACCGGCCCCACCCCTCCCCCCCTGCCAACGCCCGCTGTCGCCAGGAGATATAAAAACATATCTCTTGGAGGTCTGGGTTGCAGGCTGCCCGCACCCCTCCAGACATCCGACATCGTGGCTTTTCCACAGCGTCGTGCCAAAACACCAAAACACCGCGAATCAACGTGACTGTTGCGTCCGGAACGTGACCGTTGCGCCCCGACAATCCCAAATCGTACCAGAGCACCATTCCCAAGCTTTCAACCATGCGAATCCGTGAAACTCTTGCAAACTTTGAAAACGACTATGCGCGGCGCTGAGGCCACTGTGAAAATGAACCGACCTCCATCCTTGAAACAGCTGCAAACTTGTCAGACGAATGTGCGCGGCGCTAAGGCAAGAGCCAAGTTTGAAAACCAGCCGCCTTCCATCCTTGAAGCTGTTGGAAACGTTTAAGACGATTGTGCGCGGAGGTACGGCGAAAGCAACATTGTGAAGACCAGCCGACCTCAATCCTTGAAACAGTTGCAGAAATTAAGCTTCAAATTCAAGAATGGTAACGATGCCTCAGATGAAACGCCCAGCTCGTCCTAGCGTCACGTCTGGGGGTGCAGCGATCAAAATTATTCCTAACGGAAAGGGATGAAGGAGGAGGAGGAGCTGCAAAGAGGCCCTCCCAAGGAGCCTCCTTCCCCTTCGAGCGCCCTACACCCAGGATGGGGCGAAGAGGGAGGAGGGAGGAGGACCATGAGACATTAGGAGGATAAGAAGGAGGGAAAGGAGGAGGAGGAGGAGGAGACAGAGGAGGAGGAGGAGGAGGAGGAGGAGACGGAGGAGGAGGAGGAGGAGGAGGAGGAGGAGGAGGAGGAGGAGGAGGAGGAGGAGGAGGAGCCCCCCAGCGGGCCTCCTTGCCCTTCGCGTTGGCGCCCTGCACCCACGCTGGGCGCCCGCCGGGGCCGCTCCCGGGCAGCAGCTTGTACTCCCCGCCGGCCTCGCAGGCCCCGCGCGCGGGAGCGCGCGGGAGCGCGCGGGAGCCATTGAAGGGGCCCCAGGACACACAAATAAATACACACAAATAAAAGGATTCCCCATATTTTCCCATATTTTCTGGGTTTCTGTCTTCCCCCCCACTGCCCATATTTTCCCATATTTTCTTGGGAGTCGACGATTAATTGTGTCTGTATGTTTCTTTCCCTCCTGAGCCATGGCGCGCAGCCCCTGGCCAGCAGGCGGGGTCGCAGGATCGCGCCGCAGCGCCGAGGCACTGGCGACGGCGGGGCGCGGAGGCACCGAGCTCCACACCGAGCCGCCTCGCCGAGGCATCGGCGCTGCGCCGGGAGCCTCCGACCCCAGCTGCTCGGACCACTTCTGTAGGGTGACTACCTACCAGACCACCCCAACCCAACCCGAAGACCCGAATTTGACTCGAATTTCGGGTTGGGGGGGGGACGGATACCATGTGTTTTCTCAACGTTCCCCGACCCCCCCCCCACTGGAAATCGAGGATAAAGTTGGGCCTTCGGGTTGGGTTGGGGTGGTTTGGTGGGTGGTGATAGGGAGCCCACAGAGGACGTACGCGCCCAGCTATGTACATGAACACGGCCCCTCGATTCGCGAGACCGGCCGCGTTATACGAACATTTGTGCAATGCGCGCTCTCGAAACCAGCGTGGATTCATGTACATGTACGTCCTTCTTTCGCTCCTGAATCTGGGAGGCCTGGGAGGAAGCCAGGAGGGGAGGGGGGGGGGGCCCGACATCGTCGCGCGGTGGAAAGATCACGACGGGAGGCGGGAGGTGTCTGGTGGTCATCGGCCTCTGGGGGCCCTTGCCGGGCCCCCTGGGGCCGTGAAGAAACGGCCCAGCACGAAAAGCCGAATCTGAGGATGGGGTCCAGACCTGCGGGGGTCCAGACCTCCGGGGGTCCACGCTGTGAAAAAGCACACGAGGACGGATGTCTGGGGGGCGCGTAGGAGGATTGAGGATCTGGGCCTTGGGACGCTCAGGCGCCTCTCTGAGCCTCCTGGGGCGTCCCCGCGGCCACGGCTGGATCCGCCTCAAGATTCTGGCCGGGAGGCTGGCTGCCCAGGGCGCGTCCAGGGGTCGATGGTTGACGACGACGACGACGACGACGACGACGACGACGACGACGACGACGACGACGACGACGACTAACGGCGGCGACGACGACGACGACGACAGCGACGACGACGACGGCGACGACGAGGGGGGGCGGGGAAGAGGGGGAGGAGGAGGCAGGGCTGGAGGGCGGAGGGAGAAGGAGCAGAAGAGGGAGACTTAAGTCGGGCCTGTCCCCCTACAGGGGGGTTTTCGACGCAAACATAAATAAACACCCCAAAAATGCCCCAAAAAGGTCAAAAAATACTAGAAAAATAATGCCCCGACTATTTTTGGAGCATTTTTGGTGTATGTTTTGGGTATTTTTTATTTTTCGTCGAAAATCCCCCTGTAAGGGGGACAAGCCCGACTTAAAGGGAGACGGCGGCAGACGTGTAAAGCGTAAGAGGAGGAGGGAGGCGCAAGCCTACCAAACAGCATGCCCCCCCCCCGGGGGTTGATGGACACCTTGGAAAGGGCCCGCGGACACACAATGAATTTTTGTTTCCCCCCGCCGCGCGGACCTCTCGAGCAAACCCAGGGTTGGAGGGCCCTCTACCCCTGGTTTGCTTCCCTGTTTTCGGAGGGCGACGAGGGAACGAGGGAGAGGAGGAGGACGAGCCCGAGGGGGAAGCAACGACGAGCCCAAAGCCAGGGGACACACATAGAAAAACACACACACACAAGTCCGCCGATCCGGCGTGTGCGTCTCAGAGACCCTCAGAAAAGCCGGAGCCGCAACTCCTGAGTTGCAGCTCAACTGGGGGATGGATGGGTGCCGGGGTGGCTCTGCCGGGGTCGGGGGAGGGGGGGGATGTAATTCCCAGGGCGGAAGAAGGAGCTCCAACTCACTCCGGGATGGCCCCCTCGCCCAGCAGGGCCCCAACATGGGCCAAGAGTGCCCCGAGTCGAACGACCGCTACAAGACACCCAAGATGGCCAAAAGCCTCCAAGATGCCCTCGGAAGCCCTGAAAAAAAGGCCTCCCAAAGAAGGCCCAAAGAAGCAAAAACTGCCCCTTTCCCAAAAGAAAAACCTACAATATTTAGCAGATTCGCCTCTTGGGCCTTCAAACCGTCGCAGACGCCCCACGAAAGCCCCAAAACGGCCCAAGAAGCCGCCAAGAGGGCTCCAAGACGGCGCAAGAAAGGCCCAGGATGGCCCAGGAGGCACCCGGAAAGGCCCACGAGGGCCCCAGAACGGGCCCAAGAGGCGCCTGGAGGGCGCCGAGTCGCGGATGAAATGCCGAAGACGGCCCAAGGAGCCCTCAGCAGGCCCCGGAGGCCCCCAAGAGGCCTGAAGGGCCCCAAGACGCCCAAGACGCTTCCAACTGGCCCCGAAGAGGCCCCAGTGACCCCCTGAGACCCCCCAAGAATCTCCAAAAATGCACCCATGACGCCATCTCGAGGCCTCCAAGCTGCCTCCAAGACCACCCCTGGAAAGCCCCAAACCGGCCCCAATGCTTCCACAACGCTTACGTCTGAACACAAGCGCTGCATGTCAAAAGGTTCTTCCACGTTTTCACAGATCTCCCCTCCCGTCTTCGGTGTCCTTCACATCCATGATCTCACAAGGGCCCGCAGAGGACCACGCGCAGGCCCCAGAGACCCCAAAGACACCATGGTTCCCAGCAGAGACCGGTGATGCACAAGGTTCCACAAAGAACTGCGACGTAGACTGCTCTAGCACATAGTTTGTCAGAGAGCGCGCCACATCGGCGAGGTGTCAACCCAAAGAGGGCCAACACTTGGCCCCAAAAGAGACTTTCTAACAACCGCCGAACAACATCTCCAACAACCGCCGAAAATCTCCTCATCCTCAGCATCCTCCCGTCCCCCTTCTTCCAGTTCCCGATTACTCCGGCTCCTCCACATCCTCAGCATCCTGCTACTCCTGCCCCTCCCCCCCCCACCACCCTCCACCTCATCATGGTCATCCTCCTCCTCCTCATCATCATCCTACTCCGTTGCCTCCATTCGCAATTCGCATCATCATTGTCACCGTTCGCCGTCGTCGCCGGTCATGACCGCCATCGCGCGCTTCTGGCCACAACGGAAGCGTCCCGGATCGGCGGCACTAGCCAGAGGTCACTACAATTACGCTACCGATGAACCCCACATACTTAGATCATGATTGAAATGATGATAGCTGACGTGAAGCATGTGAGAATGATGTTGGTGGCCGTTGCCCCGCCGATACCGTTGGTGACGCCACTCAAGAGGAGAGGTGGAAGAGGAGAAGCGCCGCGTTCTGCGCCATGGCCCGCATAGACGCCGCGTTCGAGGACCACCCCCTGCGCACCCCCTGTGGTGTCGAGAATATGCCGCGCCTGCCATGCCCTGAGCCATGGCCCGCATAAACGCCCCGCTCGGGGACAATTCCCTGCGCACCCCCGGTGGTGTCGAGAATATGCCGTGCCTGCCACGCTGAGGCGCCATGGCCCGCATAGACGCCGCGCTCGGAGACCACCCCGTGCGCACCCCCTACGAGGTCGAGAAAGTGCCACACCTGCAACGCCCTGCGCCAAATCCCGCATAGACGCCGCGCTCGGAGACCACCCCCGGCGCACCCCCTACGGGGTGAGGAAAGTGCCACACCTGCCACGCCCTGCGCCATGGCCCGCATAGACCCCGCGCTCGGAGACCACCCCTTGCGCACCCCCTACGGGGTGAGGAAAGTGCCACACCTGCCACGCCCTGCGCCATGGCCCGCATAAACGCCGCGCTCGGAGACCACCCCCTGCGCACCCCCTACGAGGTCGAGAAAGTGCCACACCTGCCACGCCCTGCGCCATGGCCCGCATAGACGCCGCGTTCGGAGACCACCCCCTGCGCACCCCCTACGGGGTGAGGAAAGTGCCACACCTGCCACGCCCTGCGCCATGGCCCGCATAGACGCCGCGCTCGGAGACCACCCCCTGCGCACCCCCTACGAGGTCGAGAAAGTGCCACACCTGCCACGCCCTGCGCCATGGCCCGCATAGACGCCGCGCTCGGAGACCACCCCCTGCGCACCCCCTACGAGGTCGAGAAAGTGCCACACCTGCCACGCGCCATGGCCCGCATAGACGCCGCGCTCGGAGACCACCCCCTGCGCACCGCGAGGTCGAGAAAGTGCCACACCTGCCACGCCCTGCGCCATGGCCCGCATAGACGCCGCGCTCGGAGACCACCCCCTGCGCACCCCCCTACGAGGTCGAGAAAGTGCCACACCTGTCACGCCCTGCTGTATGCTGTGCTGCTGTGTTGTGCTGTGCTGCGCTGCGCTTCGTTTTGCTGTGCTGCGCTGTGCTGTGATGTGCAGCTGTGTGCTGGGCTGAGCGTTGCTAGGCTGTGTGCGATGTGTTATGATGTGCTGTGCTGTGATGTGCTGTTCTGTGCTGTGCTGTGCTGAGCTGAGCTGAGCTGAACTGTGCTGAGCATTGCTGTGCTGTGCTGTGCTGTGTGCGTGAGGAGGAGGAGGAGGAGGAGGAGGAGGAGGAGGAGGAGGTGAGACGCGGGTGCGGCGCGGCAGTGAAGAAAACCAGAACCCCACTAAACATGTGGGGAATAACAGGATTCCCCATGTTTTCCCATACTTTCTTGGTTTTTGACTGCCCCCCACTTCCCATATCTTCCCATACGCATTTTCCTGGGAGTCGGCGATTGATTGTGTCTGTGTGTTTTCCCCTCCTGAATCTTATGGGCATCCTGAAGAGGGGCCCTGGGAGCGCACCGCCCAGATCTCCAGCGCTTCCCGAGCGCGGGGGGCCCAACGAATGCTGCCTGGTTCGACGTTGGCTCGCGCAACCTACCAGAGCCCTGCCGATGGATCCGAACAGAAGTTCGCCCGCAAGCATGGAGCATCCGTCGAGAACGGATGG